ATATATATATATATATATATATATATATATATATATATATATATATATATATATGCGTAAGTTGTCACACTCGATCATTGTAAACGTGTCGCGCACATATGTATATCCAGGTGACATGTAACTGCATATTCATAAAAAAAGGTTGACCATATAAAACGTGAAAGCAGTCACTTTATACATTTCTGTGTAGAACTAGCAAAATATATACGAACCTTTATTAGCTGTAAGAATATTTTCCGTATATCGGAATGCCTTTTGTACCTATATCATTATACACATCGGCATTAATGCAAGCTCATAAAAATTCATACATCGCTTACGAATAAAAATTCGTATTTCTTTACCTATAGTAAAAGATAACTGAGCCCTAACACATTGTGTGACCCCTTTTGCTGCAAAATTTCCAACCATTTTCTTTTCTTAAATGCAAGATCTGAGAAGGAAATTATTTATTTGCATTCATGCTTTTCTATCAGCCTATCCTTTTTCGAAATCTATTTTTTTTACCCAATACATATTGCTGAGGGGGCTGTTTTCGAAGATTACTAACCAAATAATTAAAGTTAATAATAATAATAATAATAAAAAACAGATACTAAAAAAGCAAATCACAATCGTAAAAGGAGAATGAAAGGTTTAAGGCTGAAGCAGCTACTTTTATTTTGAAATAACACAAATTAAATAAAAAAAATCTGCCTTAATGAAATGACGAATACACATAAACAATAAAAGTATAACCGCTAAGTCACACTCACGTTTAAATAAATTTACAATTTACTTACACGCATTCAATACACCGATTAATATCAACAAATATATATAGATATATCGACAGATTTTTGTATGGGTAGATATAAGTATGTATATAACTATATATTTTAAAAGCGTAGCTATATATATATATATATATATATATATATATATATATATATATATATATATATATATATATATATATTTATAAATATCTACGGTTGTATATCTGATTTGTTTTTACGTATATGTTGCTTCAGTCGCAGTAGAAAGCGCCTTAACCTTGATATAAAAAAAAAATTATATTTCCATTCCTAATTTTTCTCCCTTGCCTTCCATCTTTTTGTGATTGCACGACCCTATCTTACGCCTTTGCTTTTCGTTGATTTTGTCTTATTTTCCTGTTTTATTCATTCGAACAATGAGACCCGATTTTTAAAATATTTTTATCGTCCCAATTCCGTCAGTCTCAACTTTCTTTTATCTTCTTTTCAATCTAAAATTTAAATAAAATTTGAAGAAAAAAAAAAAAAGATAGTGTTACTTGTCATTATAGGAACATATTTAAACCTAAGGGGAAGGTATTAAACTATTCCAGACGCCTTGTAGCGCGAATCACGTTCTGAACCCGCGCAACGTTCTCTATCCACATTTTGATATTTTCTATCTCTTTTACTTTCACTTTCACTTTTACACCTACAAATAACAAATACAGTATTCAGAGAAGAAGGATCTGGTGGGCATTTATAGGGTTCTTTAATCGAGGTGCAAAAACGTTAAGGCGCGCACATAGCAACATTTTATTCGCGCTCTTAATCTCTACAATAGCATCTGAATACAGAACCACATAATACGCTCGCGCATTAAGCAATACAGTAAGCTGCGTCACGAACAGTTGACTTAATAGAACTATTTGATCTTTTGCTATCTTCCAGCGTTAGCCAGTGGAGGCAAATGTTGACTGCAATGCTATTGTAGATTCCTTCCACATAAGCTAGGCTAGACACGTGTCACGACAACCGCCGCGCGAGGTTTTTTTTTTTTTTTTTTTTAAATTTTAATTCCAAAAGAAGAAAGCGATATAAAAACATTAAAAGACTTTAGGAGAATGTAGACCTGATGAAAAAGAATATAAATATTTTCAGGAATATTGGCTAATATATTCGTATTTACAAATCTTCATAGGCAGATAAAATTAATAACGGATAGATAAATGAATAGAAAAATTACTTTCAAGATATAGGAAGGTATAGAAAGTCAGAGATAAAAAAAATTGATGTGATGAGACAGAAATAGGTAAATAGAATCGCCCTGAAAAATCACAAATAATTTTTTTAAAATAAATTATAAATATTAAGAATTTTAAGAAGTGTAGATTTTTTCAGCCAAATTTGAAAGAAAATAACGTTTTTAATAGATAGATAGATAGATAGATAGATAGATAGTGTCTTTAACAGTTTCAGGTGTAAGATCTTTTCTTTTGGTAATTAAATTTCTTTCGGGGTGTAAAAAAGAAACATTACAATATACTTGCATGACAGCGTGAGACACGACAGTATAAAGCAGATTTATTTCGCAACTGTTGGTTGCTTAAACACACGCTAAGTGTTATGAAGGCAGCTTTGTTTCTTTCTTATAGTATTGCTTAATTAAAATAAGACAAGTTTCAACCGGAGAGTTATTTTACTTGGATTCTCTAACGTAAGATTTTAAAAAGAAGGAAAGAGAGAAAAAAAAAAAAAAAAACGGAAAATTTTAGATGCTTTTTAACTTATACGGATACAAATATTTGGATTTCAGTTGGTGAGTGAATTTAGCCAAGAATCGATATTTGAAAAATGATAGAAAAATTATTTTCGAAACTTGTCACTTGGCCTGAATTCTGCTTTGAATAGAGAAAAAAATATTAATTTTATAGTAATATTAATATTTGCTTAGAATATATACTTAACAACAACAACAACAACAACAATAATTATAATAAATAATAATAATAATAATAATAATAATAATGTAAACAGTGGGAATAGTAGAATCAACAAAAATCAGACCATCTGCTGTTACGGTGAATTACACAAAAGAGAGAGATAATTTTAAGGGTTTTATTTAATGTTGGTCGTTTTCTTTATTACAAACTTAAACAGTTTTTAAAGTCGATGACTTTATGTCTTTGTGAGTCACTTAACTACTTAATCTATGTAAGGAGATCATATCAACAATAACATCTGTGGCATAAGCATAAGAAAAAAAAACAAAACAAAAGAGACATCAGCCGTGTCTACATTTCACAACCAATTAATAACTTTGCAAAAACACTAATGACAAAGACTGCAACTTTAATCAAAGCGAAATAGATGCAAAACGAATAAAAGAAAGAAGTCACCACTTTTTATTTCTGCATTGTTTTATACCGAGAAGCAATTGAGGAGCTCGTGTTTTTGTTACTACTAATAATTTTGCGAGTGGTATTGCGTGTAACTACTAAACTTGCTCGTAAGACATGCGTCTTACAAACCCGGATCAATAGAATAGATTTAAAGATTTCGCAAAGCAATCAAGAAAAAGGTATTCTTGAAAAGAACTATATAGTCAGCCGAAATAAAAAAAATATATATTTTATTTACGATTTTTTTCTTCTAATTTTCAAAAACAAAAGCAAACTATCATATTTACAAATTTATCGGCAAATTACTGTGCAAGGCGAAGAAATATTAGATTATATGCCCGGACGGTGAGATTCATTGCAAATTATTCATCCTACACAACATTTCATTCATATCTAAATAACCAGCCCTTTTTAATGTCTCCCAGCGGTTTGTAAATACAGCTGTAAAGCACGATACCCATGGGGTATGGGGTCAGCGTGCACTTCACTTCATTCTCATAAGAAAATGAATTGATTACTTTCTAGACATACCCACACATCCTTCTCCTCACACACACACATCTATCTATCTATCTATCTATCTATCTATCTATCTATCTATCTATCTATCTATCTATCTATCTATCTATCTATCTATCTAAGTCTCATCTATCTATCTATCTATCTATCTATTTTTTTTACTTTAGTTCACTCAATATAAGGTCCAAGAGCCGCTTAAGGTAGAAGGTTACTAAGTGAGATTGTTGTGAGGTCGTAAGGGGAGATAAAAGGAGGGATTAAGAAGTGCATATACTAAGATTATATAGGATAGATAACTGTTGACTCTAGACTTGAGGAGCTTAAGATTTAAGTGATCGGGGAAGCATTCTCTCGGGAGTCAGATACACAAATAAGAGATCTATCAATCTATCTATTAATTAATTTTCACTAATCAACGTATAAATAGTGTCATCTTTTGAACTCAATTACCCACCTGATCCGTTCATGTTGTACGCACTTAATAAACCTTCCATATCTGTAGAATTTTATCGACTGCACCCTATTGATTCAAACTCAAATATCACTTGACTTAAGAGAGTTAAACCCAATGCTCTTTCACTGAGAACATTTCTATAGTCCCTTTTTCTGTCATACACATATGCATGTATGTATATCTTAATGCATCACCCACTCATACACTTAAACTGTATTTTATGGAAAGAGCAACACACCGTTCGACACTTTTATACAAATAAAATTCAATTATCAGCTCAATAGTTTTATAGATATATATATATATATATATATATATATATATAAAACTGCTGATACATAAATACACACGCATACAACTAGATACACACTCCAATTTCGTAAGCTAATCGGCCTACTGTAAGTTACCTAGGTCCGAATGTGGGCACATACGAAATCCCAATGATTTCCTTGCAGAGCGCCATTTTACTTCGGGCATTTGTATAAATAAAAACAACAAAAAAAACCCAAAAAAACAAAACAAAACAAAAGCAAATAATACCCACGCGCAAATAGGCACTTAGTGACCCAAGTTATCACGTGCATTTCCTATCCAGATGCATGGCAACACGCAAATACGAACACATATGCGAAAACGAATTGATAGTTTGACACATACAAGAATAGATTGACATCTAAAAGAGACACGCAAGTGGGCCTTTCTTTTGGGCTTTTCCAGACGCAAGCATTCACTGTTATATACACTTAGTGCTTCAGCTACGACTTATTTCATTCACACACACAGACACACAGACACACACACATACACACAGAGATTAGCACCTATAATGAAACATATACTCACTTACACGCACACACACTGGTTCGACACTATAATAATACACACAGACACACATGCACACACGCATTGATTCCAACATCACATAAAAATATATTCAGACGGACTAAAGAGTATTTTGATTTCTATTACGTATACATATTCACGCCCACATAGGCAAATTTCCTACGCACATTTACACACATACACACACATATATATATATACATATATATATACATACATACTAACACTCACATACATATTAATCTAATCACAAACATGCACACACAGAATGATCAAAAATTTCTGGACACATACACACACACACATATAAATATGCACATACACCTACTCACACAGACGCACGCTCACACCTTTAGTCTTTACTGACACATACTAAAAGGTTGACAAAGACAGATATACAAACATAAACACAAGGATCAACAACAAGACGCACACACACATACACGCATACATATATTCGTACATATACACATATATACATACATACTGACTGCTATATATATATATATATATATATATTTTTATATATATAAATATATATATATATATACTTAAATGCTCTCGTCCATATTTTGAGTATAGGCAGGATAAAACGAATAAATTTATCTTCTTCCTACGCGGTGATGAATGCGCGAAAAATAAAGTTTAATAACCTCCGATGTCGCTAAAGAGTTTTATGTTTTTATTTACTTACTAGTAAAAACCACAAACGGATATCCTTGTCCAGATAATCAGATTATCAGATAAAACAATAACTTCCGGTTCTTTTTTTTTCTTTTTTTCCATTTATATCTCATTTTTTCAATAGCTATTATCAATATAATTTTTGACATTGTTTATTATTATTATTATTATTATTATTATTATTATTATTATTTTCTTAATTTTGACATTCGTCCTTCTATCTGTCTATTTGTCCAATGGTTTTCCTGTCTCCGTCTGCATTTGTCCTCCGCCTCTTCTTTCATTGTCAACAGAATAGTTTTTTTTTCACTAGTCAATCCACCAGCCAATCTGCTTACAAGATAATAACTAACCAGGTACGTGTCGTTCCCTTGCTGTGACCACATTCTAGTTGGTGAAAACGGCCACTTCTACGACACAAGCTTTTTCGAACGACACGCAACAGCTGCAGATATACAAGTAGTAGTACTCTTAGTACGACTACCACCAGATACAGCAATAGTAGTCTTAATAGCAGAATAATAATAGATCAGTAATAATAGTTATAGTAATACTATTGTGGTTGTGATCTATGCTTTTATTAGAAGCCAGAAGCTAAAACGCCGATACCGACAATCCCCAGTGATGTCACTTCACCTCTAGTTTTTAAACATCATTAGTTGTAGGGAGAGAACACTGGGATCGTCATTTACTTTGATGTAGGCATAATTCAATTACGACTCCCAACGATAATTGATGTAATATCGTTATCAATAAGGATTCCCTAGATTTTACAAGTACACGAATGCACTCACTCCTTAAAGACAGTATGTCCCCTGCTGTACTTGTTGCATTAGAGCTAGACATCATACAGCCAGTTGTTACCTAAAAGACTCGCCTTTCCAAGCGAGGCTTTGTAAATCGTAGTAGCAGTAGTAACACCAATCGCGTAGTTTTGTCGTTTTGACACTGAAGCCGTCGTTGTAGTAGTGGTGGTAGCTCTGATGGTTGGAGTTTTGTAAATAGTAGTAGTAATTATTGTTGTTATTGTTTTTACTACATTAGAAGGAACAGAAGTAATTTTATTTAATGGAAACAAAGTTTCGTCAAGCTAGGAGAAAAGAAAGTGTAAGAAAAGAGAGAAGAAAAGGAAAAAGCATCACATAGCAAGGCCAGTTCTTATACACGTTTACCGGTGTGTAGTGTTTACCGGCTTTTTTTTTTTTTTACTCATTGGAATGAGTCACACGTTGGATGTTTACATGAAGGAATAAGCGAAATCGAACAGGGAGAGACAAATCTATTCACGCGCAATATTAAGACGATTTACAACAACAATAGACTGCAAAAAAAAAAAAAATTCTGATATTTGCAAGCAAGCAGGTTATTTTCATTTTAAACCTAGTTTCTCAATAATAAGTCTACGATCTAAAAAAAAAACAAAAAACAAAACAAAACAAAAAAAACAAAAAAACAGCAGTTTTCACACCAGTTTCGTTAGTGTAAAGTCAATGAAATCCTGACATATTTTTTCGCTCCCTCATCTTTCCTTGAAAATGCATACAAAATTTCGTAGGTAGTCGTCAAATTATAGGTATTAAACTGTGTGTGTGTGTGTGTGTGTGTGTGTGTGTGTGTGCGTGTATGCGTGTGCATGTGCGTGAGTTTTATTTATATGAGAAGAAACGTGACACTGAGTGACTGACTATATACACGTATGGGTGCTTGTGTGAGTGCGTGCGTGTGTGCGTGTGTGCGTGCACGCTTGTGTGCATGTGTGAGTGCTTGGATGAGTGTTTGTGCATGTGCGCCCTGGAGTGGATGTTTTTAAGAAAGCAAGAGTGAAACCCGTTAGTTGGTGCTATCTCTCTGCATATATATATATATATATATATATCAATAGGACCCCTACTTTCGCGCTAAACGCGTTTACTTACTGGAACTCCATGGATTAGGTACAATTTTATGTAAATATATAAAACAATTGATCCATCCATCCATCCATTCATACACCCATACATATAAATATACGTTCAACCTACCCTATATATATATATATATATATATATATATATATATATATATATATATATATATATATATATATATGTATATAATCTCTATTTAGCTAAATACATATATAAATATATATGTATATCTATCTATATATCTATATCTATCTATCTATCTATATATATATATATATACATATATATACGGTGTGATAGATGACTAGAGTGCAAGAAGGAAAGAAAAAAAAAAAAAAGAGAATTGTCAAGGTATATAGCTGCAGCTGGAAAGACAGATCGACTAAGGATTCCCCTTATTTTGTTTTATTGAAAACAGTCGTTCGCTGATAAAGTCACGTGGTTTTCTGACCAATCATTAGGTTATGATTTTACAAAAAGGTGCTAATCGAACTTTACTATATTTCTAGCCTGCAACTATTGTCCCAATTATTGTTCTTTCTTCTTTTAAAGATAAAAATGCGACGTTATTCTAAAAAGTAAGACAAAGGAATTAAAAACAAAATAAACAACACCTGTTAAAGAGGAAAAGAAAAAAGAAAAAAGGAAGGCAGACAATCACATACGTCCAAAAAGAATTAATGTAAGAAATTACTTACATAGTTATAAACACATTTTCAAAATCACATCAGCAAGCATATTGTCGTATATGACACATACAAGAACACACTCATACATATACACAGTGGGATAAAATAGATATTCTTTCTAAAGCTAGCCATATATAGATCAAAGTATTTGAGCAACTTTAGGGATAGAAAGTTTCTACTTAAAAAAAGGTTGGAAAAAGACCAGAAAAGAAAGTAATGCAGTTAAAATTGAATTTTTAGAATTTTTTTTAAAGGAAAATATTCATAAACAAAGGATTTGAATGCTATACTTTGGAAAGCAAAAGAAACAACAAATCGAGTGTCACCGTTTCGTCAAAATCTGCTGTTTTCTCTGAAAACGCCGAGAGATTACTTTCTTTATAAAAGCGCGTAAACACGCATGCGTACACCTGGCTGACGGAATAAAAAGAAAGAAAGCGGGAAAATAAAACAAAAAGAAAAAAAAAAGAAAAAAAAAAGTGGACACTTTCACTCCGGAAATGCATGAGGAAACAAAATATGTTTTAATATTTAATGTAGTTATAAGAATTACAACAGAAAGTAAGTGAATTTTCATGGCCTTTTACCTCTACGCAGTCATTTGAATTATTCTGGATTGAAAAATGTATTTAAAAATGGAAACAGAATTTGCGTACAGCATACAAAGAACTTTTCCAGAATTTAACAAGGAACAAAAAAAATGACAAAAAACAATTTGACCAGTGGCAAAGAAAAAAAACAAACAAATATCAACGTAAGGCCAAACATTTAAACATACATACATATATTTTATTTATTTATCTACATAATTATATAGATCAAATACAAATACATACACGTACAAAATACTTCACATATATTTATATATATATATATACACTACAAACACACACAGACAACTCACGCGCATACCCATAGTTACAAATATACATGCAATCACGCGGACCGACGTTAAATTTTAAGACTGAAAAAAGGAAACAGTTGGCTCTCTTATAATGCCGAGGCTAGTCGTTAGCACGAAATGTCAAGTGTCCTGATCACAAGAAGAAAGAGTGATACCAATTTGGCCGTAAAGTACACCCCATGCGCCCGCGAACAGACAGATGATGAGCTGGAGGAGGTCTCCATTATCAGTCGCGAAAATATCCCAGAGAAGAAAGTCGGGGACCTAGACGTCGAACAAGGAGTCAGCGTTACAGTAAACGGACCTCGGGTGCTACCGGGCGTCGGGGTTTTCCAATCGTCGTCCGATCGCACTAAACTCATAGGCGAACGTCTTAGTTCGCAGATCTCATTACCGTCTCCTGTCTACTCGAACAAAATAGTCGAGCAGACCTCCTGTAAATCGACGTCGAAACAGAGCCTTTTGGACATTGTAAGTAACCGTATCGAAAAGGTCAAACAACGGAAAAGGCCGTCTGGGGAAGATTTCGCCTTGATGCGAAAGATTCGACCCACCGAGCCAGTTACTACTCGTGAAATACGTAGGCAGCGTAAGAAGGAAATAAGCCAGATATTTGGTAACAAAAGACACCGACAGCAAGACCGTATCGAGACCTCAACCAACAATACAGATAAGGACGGATGCAAGTGGACATTCGTGTTTGATCCGTCCGGGCGTCTTTCCTACTGGTGGTCAGCAGTAGTCAGCGTTGCCTTTCTCTACAATTTCTGGGTCCTTATCTATCGTTTTGCCTTTCAGGAAATACGCGCAGAGACCACTTATCTTTGGTTTACCTTGGACTATACGGCTGATTTTCTATACATCCTGGACATCGCTTTTCATTTTCGCACAGGGTTTCTTGATGAAGGAGTTTTACAGACGGACGCAACAAAACTCAGAATTCATTATATGAACACGACAAGATTTTATATAGATTGTTTATGCCTCCTACCTTTGGACTTTCTCTACCTCTCGATCGGATTTTGTTCGATACTTCGCGGTTTCCGTTTGGTTAAAGTTTACCGCTTCTGGATGTTCCTTGATCGTACAGAACGCCACACTAATTACCCAAACGTTATTCGTACAACCACTCTCATGCACTATTTGTTGGCATTGTTTCACTGGAATGCTTGTCTCTATTATATTATTGTCTCCAGGATTGAAAAAGCGACCGCCGACTGGAAGTTTCCCAAAGACGAATCGGATGTTCTGAAACAGTATTTACACGCTCTCTACTGGAGTACCTTAACCCTTACCACAATTGGCGACCTGCCGACACCTCGTTCTACTGGAGCTTACCTCTTCATAATCTTCGAATTAATTTTTGGTTTACTATTATTTGCAACCGTCTTGGGACATATTGCTAACATCGTCTCATGCGTTAGCGCCGCCAGGAAAGACTTTCAAGGTGAGTTCGAATTATTTTTTCATCCGTTTCGTTTTCGATGTTTTGAATAAGAGAAGTTGATTGGTTCGTTTTTCCAGACGACATGCCAAGATGATTGACGTCAGATGAATTAACGATAGGCGTAGGAGATCACTTTGTCATTGTTTGTGTTGGATAGATTGGATATTAGAACGTAGCTTGATTGTGGAATCACTCCTAAAAGCAAGTAATCCCTCATTTAAATCATTTCCATGACAACAAAGGCCAAAGTGCGTTAGCTAAGCTCGTTTCGTGAATCGAAGCACAACTAGGTCTTGATTGATTTTATTTGTTTTATTTTACGGCTTCTCAACTTTTTACAGGTTATTTAAAGCCAGAAAATAGTTTTAGATTGCAAGTATTTGCAAGTATGCTTTGAAGATTATAACTGTAACACGTCCTACTAACTAACACATATCTGGAGGGAGTGGGCATCTCCACGTGGCGTAATGGTTAGCAAGCTTGTCTCGCCAGAACTGTTACAATTGAGTAGTGAGTTCGATCCTCACTAGGTGCCCCATACTTTCGGCCTTGTGCCACATCTATGCTAAGCTTGGAAAATCACTATCTGGAGGGAGAAGAAATAGATTCATACCTTGCCATTTGCTTGTAGAGATTTTCCAAGTGTAGTCAGTTGTAATCATTCTAGCAAGACAAGCTTGTTAACCATTACACCGCCTCGAGGTTCCCTGCCCTTTGTTTGTAAGTGAGTATAACAAACCCAACTGGATTTAGGATTTCTAATTCCGAGCCATTATCCATTACACCACCTGCAGATCCAGGCAAAATTAGGAGTTTTGTTTGAAACATGGTCTCGTGTGTAAGGATATAAGTTTTATTCTTTGTCAAAAATGACGTTTTTACTTAGTTTATTCAACGTATGGCGTAGTGGCTTCGCTGAGTATAAAATTCAGTTTTTGTTAAATATCCTTATCTGTGTTGTCCTTGTGTCAGACCAAGTTTCATCCTTCTAAATCAAGCAGTTATTGAAATAATCCAGCTGAAATCATTAATTCTGTCAGCTTTCAGTTCTTCTTAAACTTAAATACGTTGACAAATATATTTTTTCTATAAATGGGAAATATATATAATCATGCAAATCCACATAAAGCACACAGACACTGTCACAAGTGGACATATGTTTAAATACTTATATTGGACGTGATTAGCTTTTTTCTGTGTTGTTTCGGCTGTCAAATCAACGTGATTTTTTGTGTGATACTACGGAGTCCCACATAGAAAAAAAAGTTGTGATTTTATCTAAGTCTCTTAATAGCAACAGATGGTCCATTTTGAAGTCTATTTTTTTTAAGTGACATCCACTTTGACTGAAAGGGAACGGAAAGTAAAGGGGCATATGAGAGGGTTTTAAAGATCAAGTGACAATAAAACCGTAAATGGGGTATAACCGAGTGCTGCTCCATATTAACAGTAGTGCTTGAGATTGGATAGAGTTTTGGTCTATCCTTGGCGGAAGACTGACCTATTCATCGCGTGGTTCCTGTGCCGTCAAATTACCAGCCACACACCGGAATGTGTAGATGAGCGTGGAGTTGGAAGGGGGAAGAGATGACATAGTAGAAGTTATCCCAAGTATCACCTACCCACCCAGACGAATAGGCAAAGCCCTGAGTAAAGCATCTATGTATAATATGTGAAGCGCCTTCTTATTTCTCGTCGTGCCGTTTATCTTTCATCTAGGTACGTTGTGAGCTTGCATCAAGCCCTTTCCCAGCTTTCGGTGCACACTGCCAAGACTGAGAATCAAAATGCATTGTGGAGTGTAATCATTAGCCGATCAGTGGAAAGCTTAGGCAAGGCTCTCGTTCTTCGTTTACATTTTGTATCAAAACAAATATTCATCTGTCAATTTATAGTCAATTGATAATTATTAATTTCACTGAGCAACTATTGATAATCGTATAGTTTTTTTTTCTATAAAGTTTTCTGCGTAAATAAACGTACGCTATTTACATTATTCGGACTCATCTTTGTCGCCATATTTATTACAACGAATCGGCCTTCAGTATCTGTCTATATTTCTGAGATGAGATATTATGTACACTATTTACATTATTCGGACTATTGTCGTCATCTTTGTCACCATATGTATTACAACGTTTCGGCCGTTGTACGCTCCATCATTTTTCAGGTGGTTGGAATGTCGAACTGAACCCTTTATTTCGCTCACTGGGGTAGACAGTTCTAGTTCCACGTGCCATGTCTAATGGATGTCTGTTATCAGTTATTTCCTGTTAATTCCCCTCACAAAGTTCTCCACCGCCTTAACCGGGTATTGAACTCACACTCTCTGGGTCCTGTCACTGGATCTAACTAACGCCTTTATCCCCTGTGCCATATATACACATTGCTGTGCTCCATCTGATATAGAACTGGGTCACACATGCACAGTTCTAAACTAAAATTATACATATATATATATATATCGTACCATTGAAAATTTCACGGTCTCCTCGTTTTAAATTAGATTTCTTTCTTTGTGTCTCTCACTGCGATCAAAGAGCGTCTTCGATGTGTCTTTTTCCATCTTTCCATGTGATCAAAACGGGACAGTCTATTATTTATGAGGTACTGACTTATAATAAGATAGGATACAGCTAACAATTGAATTCATCTGGATCTTCATCTGGATCTATGCCTTACTGTCTGCAATTAACAGATCTGCGTGCTTACAGATCTGCGTGCTAAAAGATTTGCGTGCTTACAATTCAACTCCTGTGAGTAGCTCCGCATTTAATAACGATCTTCCTTTTCAATCAATATGATTAGATTTTTCAACACATATTCTTAGTAACATTTTCTGATTGTTTTTCTATAATTCATTATTATTATTGTATACATCAATCACTAAATTTATATTTCTACTTGTTTAATTATATTGTTTAATACAATCATGATCAGAAACAGGACGGTCGATACTGTTCTCAATCAGCCTGATTCTCCATTTACCCATAAAATCTGCTCTCATGTCGCTACGTTTGACAAATGAATATGATGGTTAATATTTATTACAACGTTTCGGCCGTTGTGTATATATTAATTTAAGTGGCATTTATCAAGAACATTATTTAAGTGAAAAATATTCCTATAGAAAAAAAAAACAGTTGTTTGTTATTAGTAATCTTTCTCGAACACCTTTTGTTAGAGATTATTGCCTGCGATGGCGAAAACTACAAACATAGGTTAAATAGGCAGAAAGTATTTAGTTCCTCCAACCGCTGATTGTTTTCAGTCAAAAGAAGCTTTTTGAAAACATGGACTTCAGAAGCCCAAGTCCGACTGCTTATTGTTTTCAGTCAAAAGAAGCTCTTTGAAAACCTAGACTTCAGATGTCTAAATCCTACTGCTGATTGTTTTCAGTCAAAAGAAGCTTTTTGAAAAGCTAGACTTCAGAAGCCCAAATACGACTGCTTATTGTTTTTAGTCAAAAGAAGCTCTTTGAAAACCTAGACTTCAAAAGCCCAAGTCAGACTGCTGGTTGTTTTCAGTCAAAAGAAGCTCTTTGAAAACCTAGACTTCAGATGCCCAAGTCCTACTGCTGATTGTTTTCAGTCAAAAGAAGCTCTTTGAAAAGCTTGACTTCAGAAGCCCAAGTCCGACTGCTGATTGTTTTCAGTTAAAAGAAGTTCTTTGAAAATCTAGGCTTCAGAAGCCCAACTCTGGCCGCTAATTTCTTCGGACATTTGGGATGCCAAATAGTAATTTCAACAATAGGTTGTCAAAGTTTGGTTCTCATTTTTACTGATTCCCGGAAGATGAAAAATGTCATTTGTATTAATGCACCTAAACATGTTAATGTCTTACTGAATGATAACTAGATAAAACAGAAGTGAAAAATGACTAAGGGATAAAAGAAGACTGTGTTGGTTGTAACGAATAATAAAGTCAGCTCGACAAAAGACCCAGATTCTGTTGCGTGTGATGCAGTAAGCACCAGGAGTTACGTCCCCTTCCACAATTGGCTGTTAGCAGAGTACATTGTACGAAGAGTAGGTGGCATTGACAAAATTGCATACGAACGATACTGGGAAGTTATTAGTCAGTAGTAAGCGTCGGTATCGGACTGAAAGAGCGAGAGAGAGAAGTAACATAAGTTTTTTATCAGTTGGGGAAGAGTGCTCACTATGTGTGGACCGACAGAGGTTTGTCTCGAAGTGTTGAGTTGGAGGTTTGTGTCGATGTGTTGAGTTGGAGGTTTGTGTCGATGTGTTGAGTTGGAGGTTTGTGTCGAAGGGTTGAGTTGGAGGTTTGTGTCGATGTGTTGAGTTGGAGGTTTGTGTCGAAGGGTTGAGCTGGAAGTTTACTTCGAAGTGTTGAGCTGGGGGTTTGTGTCGAAGAGATTTTGTTTGAGGTTTGTGTCGAACCTTTGGATTGGAGTTTTGCGTTGGGTTTTACTTAGAAAACCAGACAAACACATTGATTTTATCGGGTAAGCATTGTTTTTAAAACCAAATTATTTCAATATACCATATTCTATTAAGCCACAAACAAACGAGGCGTCCCTGATAAATAACTTATAATTCAAAAACAGATTCGAACACTGACCACTAATTTCAGACATAATTTTAGAGCCAGTGTACTCAAGAACGCACATTCAGTAACGAATAGAATCAAGCTCGTTGGCTTTACAGAAGCACCTGCCTATTCATACACGTGATCAATGTCAGTGTGTTCAACAAATCCTTCATCAATTGATTGCCATTTGATGACGGCTATGATCATCAGCATCAGCATCCATGAGTTTTTTGTGATGGTACAATACATTTGTGTAGTTCAGAATATAATTTTTAGAGTCGAACAGATTAGGTTTGAATTAATCGTTACTATAAAACAATAAATCAGCTGTAGTCAGCTTGGACACGAAGTGTGAGATCGCCACTTATTTCTTTGCCGTCTTAAGTCTCTGTATGTTTCATTCATAGGATAATTATATATCATTTCCATAATTTAAAATATTGTAAATATAATAAAAAGCACAAGAAGTGACACTAGATAGCTTGCGAAAGAATCATTGACATGGAATCAACATCTAGGTACCCATGACCAAGGCGAGCCATCAAGTTAGAGGTATAGAGTGTGGTCTCACCTGGTGAGGAATAGACTCCGGTAGGTCTACTTGCCCAAGACACGCGAATGAATACCACTGTGAATTTCAACCCAGATATTAGTATACAACAGAGACCTGTGGAGGAACCTAGACAGGTGCTCAGCGATCCTATGGCAACATGGTCGTGATGATAACTAGGACAGAATTAAGTACATCGGCAAGAAAGTTGATTAAGTTGAAAAAAATTATTTATTGTAAAATATGTGATTTTTTCGTCGTTAGGCCACAGAATTGTTGATGCACCTATAATTACTGAATTAATTGCAATTTACAAGGAAAGGGAGTATACTTAAAAATAATTATTTGTTATAAAATGAATGCTTTCTTTTAGACTTCAGAATTATTTATGTGGATGTCGTCCGTCCATGACATATATTAGTCTATTTTGGTTGGGTTTGGTTTATATCAACGTCAATGGGTTATTTAATGACGACAGCATTTTCAGGATAAATTCATATGAACAGAATATGTATTCTTTGGTTTAGATTGGTTTGCTTTATTTTGTTTTACGGCATATCAACCTCAATGGGTTATTTAATACCGGCAACATTTTTAGGATAGATTCGTATGAATAGAATATATATTCTTTGGTTTAGATTGGTTTGTTTTATTTTGTTTTACGGCATATCAACCTCAATGGGTTATTTAATACCGGCAACATTTTTAGGATAGATTCGTATGAATAGAATATGCGTTCTTTGGTTTAGATTGGTTTGGTTTATTTTGTTTTACGGGATATCAACCTCAATGGGTTATTTAATGCCGACAACATTTTTAGGGTAGATTCGTATGAATAGAATATGTATTCTTTGGTTTAGATTGGTTTGCTTTATTTTGTTTTACGGCATATCAACACCAATGGGTTATTTAATGCCGACAACTTTTTTCCTGGTAATATTTTGTTTTGTCAAAAATCTATTTCTGGTAATATTTTTTCCTGAAAAATGTATAGCTAGTAATATTATTTTAAAAAATGTATAGCTAGTAATATTATTTTAAAAAATGTATAGCTAGTAATATTATTTAAAAAAATGTATTGCTGGTAATATTATTTTAAAAAATGTATTGCTGGTAATATTATTTTAAAAAATGTATTGCTGGTAATATTATTTTTAAAAATGTATTGCTGGTAATATTATTTTAAAAAATGTATTGCTGGTAATATTATTTTTAAAAATGTATTTTTGCTGGTAATATTATTTTTTAAAAATGTATTGCTGGTAATATTATTTTAAAAAATGTATTGCTGGTAATATTATTTTAAAAAATGTATTGCTGGTAATATTATTTTAAAAAATGTATTGCTGGTAATATTATTTTAAAAAATGTATTGCTGGTAATATTATTTTAAAAAATGTATTGCTGGTAATATTATTTTAAAAAATGTATAGCTAGTAATATTATTTTAAAAAATGTATTGCTGGTAATATTATTTTAAAAAATGTATTGCTGGTAATATTATTTTAAAAAATGTATTGCTGGTAATATTATTTTAAAAAATGTATTGCTGGTAATATTATTTTAAAAACTTTTTTCCTGGTAATATTTTTTTTTTTCAAAAAAGTATTACTTATAATAGTTTCTTTTTTTTTTCAAAAATTAGTAGTAATAGTATTTCTGGTATTAAAACCCATTTTTACACTTTAATAATGATTTTTTGGTTTCGGGGTCAACTATTTGCCTATAGTTGGGACCCTAACAGGTGCTACCGACCCGGGTCAGGGTGGACCTGGGAACACCAGCAATTAAGAGGTGGTTCCACGTTCCTCAAAACCTCCTGATCAGAGGCCTTGCTGTTGGACGTAGTTTATCGTCTTACCCAGTTTGTAGTCATACCCAGGACTGTAGTCTGTTTTGTTAAGTGGTTTTTGTTAATAGTTAGTTATGTGCCACCTGTGATGCACGCTTAGGCGATCATATATCTTTCGATACATGACTGACAAGGCAGATTTTTTTCAGGCAATACGTTGTTATTTCTTTCTGCGGTAGACCAGTTGTCATCCAAGGCTATAGAACCGTGTCTGTTCTGCTATTTACCCATAGCTGGGGTGAGAAGAAGTGGATTTATACTTTTCCCAAGGCTAATGCATTTTTTAAATAAATACTTTTTGTCTTCCCCACCGTAATTTTTCGAGTGATTTGAACCCTGGATCACAAACCCCCATACACAGATAAGTGATATAATTTCGGGGGAAGTAATGGTTTTCTAAAAGAAGCGAGTACCATATCACATTTAGTTATTAATGGAAACTTAGTCTGTAGCTGTAGTGTGCCGATCTTGAGAATACAATTAATCTACCGATAAAACTTGCTAACCAACTTGCTATGATAGGCACCAAAGTTATATAGTATACTAAATATTCTGCCTATTCTCTCAGTGATATTTGCCATGCAAGTCAGCTCAGAAGAAACTGAACACGTAATTACCCTGAACATATTTGTGTCCTAGCTCAGTGGGTCATCTGTAGCATCTTGAGCATCGATAGTCCTCTGCTGACTGCTATCGGTTGCCCCCCTGCAGAATTCTGTGCGTCCTCTACAACATTCTGAGGATCGATAGTTTATCTACAGAATCCTAAGGAATACTGGATCCCTTACAGCGTCATGGTGATAGATGGGCCTCGTGAGAATCGAATTAATCTACCGACCTAACTTGCTAACCAACTATAGTCACCAAAGTTATATAGTATACTAAATATTCTGCCTATTCTTTCAGTGATATTTGCCATCGAAGTCAGCCCAGAAGAAACCAAAAAATACGCAAATTATCATCGGGTATTTTGTTGAAGATCATTTACCCGCTGATATAAAAAGATTTACGTGATCATCTTTTGCAAGTTAGAAGTCCATTGGCTGACTTGATGGAAGAATAGAAACAAAACTTATCCGCTTAAAACAGGTCAAATAAGATGTCGGCTAAATAAACGCTCTCGAGTGGGCTAGACAATATCCGGATAGACTTTGATTAGAAAGTTCACTGTAGATGTAAAGCGTCATCACAGGAGAATGTCTTCGATGCCTTGATTAATTCATTCTATAACGTATATACGTTGCAATTGAAATACAAATGTGCTTGATTTGCTGCTGGATTAATAGAGTTTTGTATGTTGAAATTAACCGAACTCGTAATTATCCTTAAAATAAGTGGATTCTTGTCATCTTGGGTGAGTGGGTCATCTGTAACATCCTAAACAACTCTAACCCTCTGCTGACTGCTGAGAGTCGGTTGTTTCCTGCAAAATTCTCTGCGTCCTCTACAGAATTCTGAGGATCGATAGTTCATCTACAGAATCCTAAGGAATACTGGATCCCTTACAGTATCAAGGAGATCGATGGGCCTCTTGCAACATCTCGTGAGAATCGAATAATCTACCAACATAACTTGCTAACCAACTTGCTATGATAGGCACCAAAGTTATATGGTATACTAAATATTCTGCCTATTCTCTCAGGGATATTTACCATGCCAGTCAGCCCAGAAGGAATCGAACACGTAATTACCCTGAACATATGTGGGTCCTCGTAATTTTGGATCAGTGGGTCATCTGTAGCATCCTGAGCATCGGCAGTCCTCTGCTGACTGCTGAGTATCGGTTGCCCTCTGCAGAATTCTGGGCATCCTCTACACCATTCTGAGGGTCGATAGTTCATCTACAGAATCCTAAGGGATACTGGATCACTTACAGCGTCATGGTGAGCAATGGGCCTCTTGCAACATCTCGTGAGAATCGAATTAATCTACTGACATAATTTGCCAACCAACTTGGTATGATAGACACCAATGTTTCATAGTAGACTAACTATTCTGCCTATTCTCTCAGTGACATTTGCCATGCAAATCAGCCCAGAAGAAACGGAACACGTAATTATCCTGAAAATAGGTATTTCCTCGTAGTCTTGGGTTATCTCTAGCATCCTGAGCATCGGTAGTCCTCTGCTGACTGTTATCCCGTGTAGAATTCTGTTCGTCCTCTACACTATTCTTAGGATCGTTAGGACATCTACAGCATCCTAAGGACTACTAGATCTCTTACAGTGTCATGGGGATCAATGGTGGATCCTTTTGACATATCCTGTGTATCATTGGTTCTTCTACAGCAAACTGTCTATCGCTAGGTCAACCGCCTGACGGCCTTTCGTTCCCCTGCAGCACAATGAGGATTGCTAAGTCCGATACAAAGGATCGATGAGTCCTTTACAGAATCTCGAGGATCGATAAAACACAATCCCAATCGGTACAATTTTGTATCGATTTGGATTCATTTCGTGATTTTCTTCTAGTCGTCCATTGGAGAATATTTTTAAATATACGTATTGAACATTTTGGTACTGAGATTTCGCCGTGGACAAAAGACTTGATTCTTTTGTGGCATCTCAAAAATACCAGATGAAACGACAATCTTCTTCTTGGTTCGCACGTCCCTGTTCAGCTGCTATAGCCCACAGGGTTAATATTTTATGGCTGTACAAAAGTGATATATCTCATCGTAACAAAGGTTTCTTTGTGTGTGTACGCAGTAATTGCAAACGTGTCTCCAATGTGGCTAAATCCGACTGAATCAGGTACTGTATAGCCTCTCACAAGTTTGGTTCTCGTGACAACGGGTGGCGCTTTAATAGCTTGTTAAATAAGGGTATGTCTTCATTCCATTCTCTCTTCACTGAATTTTCTGATAAAGTAGAGTGCTTTTCTCGTAAATTCTATTCCAGTTAAACTTTTGATTCATCTGGAGTATCATTACCTTACTTTCGAGTCTCTACCGTGTGAGATGTATATAATTCCGCCCATGGTATTCTGCTAAGATCTCTAAACTTGATCCTCACAAAGCATTCCGGCTCGATGCTATCCTTGCAATCGTCCTAAACAAATGTGCTCCTGAACTGGAGCCTGTGCTCTCTAATCTCCACAATAAATGCCTTGCTGCTTCTTGCTTTCTAGCTAGTTGGAGATCTTTTTTTTTGTTGTTCCTGTTTTTAAGAACTCTGGCTGATCATTCGAACTATTATTCTTCTACCACTTTTTTGGCGAATTACTCGAGGCGATTAGAACTGCAAATTGGTTAAGTCAATCACCTCACAGGATTTTCTTTCAGACAATATGGCTTTCGCCTCTATAGGTCAACAGTTATTGCTGAAGGAGTTTATGAAGCCTAAGACAATAATAGTGAAGCTGTTGCTCTGGATATCTCGAAGGCGTTTCACGCAGTTTGATATACTGGGCTTCTACACTTATTAAAGGGTTATGGTATTTTTAGGTTAATTTTTGATTTGGGACAATCTTTCTTATCAAATCGTGAAATTAATGTGGCATTAAATGCTCACTCTTAATGAAGGCGTCCTCTAGGTCTCTCTCCTTGTACCAACGTTTTTTCCTAATTTTCATGAACGACCTTCTCTATATAATCAGTTCTTGACTCTGTATGTATTTATTTTGCTGTTCATAGTAAGTCTTATAGGTGCGATGAGGTTAAATTTGTAGCTGAAATGACATTCAATATTTCCAAAATAAAACTGTATCTTTTTTTCCTTCCGTGGCTAATGCCACCTTCCGGAAGTGTAACTCAATGCACCTTTTCGGTCTAACGTTCACCACTGAATCAATTTCTAGGTTTGATGCAAGAAAGGTTCGCTCACTATGACATTCTAGAAATTTTTCTCGCCAGCATCTATTTTACACATTTATAAGTCTACCATTCGTCAATGCATTGAGTATTTCAGCCACGTCTACGCTGTCAAAAATATCTAGTAAAAAGCAGATGTCTATATATCTAGAGATCTTTGAGAAAATTCAAAGACTGTTTATCAGCAAATTCTTCCCTCCACTGCCGTAACGTAGTTTCCTAGTGTGTCTTTTTCATAAAGAGTTTCATGGTAATTATTTGATAAGCTTTCCTCGTTGTTGCGAATTTAAGCGCAGTGTTAGATTGGCAGTTAGGTCTAATAATATTACTGTTGAAATTGCTAGACGTACCATCCAAGAAAACAGTTACTTCTCTCACACTTCTTGATCTCTCTTCCGCCTTTTTGTTTTCTTGTTAAGCGCGATCTTCAAAAATTTAAATGCAATATTAATCCTCATCTGTCTCTTTGAATTCTGTACGTTTATTGTCCACGTTCCTCAATAAGGTTTTTCACTGATTCTTTTCACCTTCCGTAACTACTTGTGTCTAATGTGTGCATGGCTCGGGTTGCAATGATAAAAAGCTTACACAAAGGATCCTATAGATCAATGGCCCTTTTCCGCAAACGATGGATCGTTAGATACTCTGCAGTAGCCTGAGATCAAAGGGTCATCTAATGTTTCTCAAATTATCTGATGTTACGTATCGGCAGTGTCTTTTTCAATGGGCGAAGTTTACCTTTTTACCTTGACCAGTGCTGGGCGCTGTTCTCTTACCTCAATTTTTGGGAGATGTGTCCTATTTCAGTGTCATTTTGAGACTATCTATATTAAACCTGATGTCCTATTCATTCTAAGGCCAGTCTTCATTGACGTAACAAGTTTTCCCAGTGTTCAAGGGACCGGTGCCATATATAATTAGAAAAGAATCGATAAGACAAAATATTATTTGAACATTCGTAGTATAGTATTATTCATTCATACCAGAAAAATATAATAAAATTTGCATCATTTATTTTTATTTTATATCGATTTTGTAGAAATATATGTCCATGAAAATGGCGTCTTGGTATTCCTACGGTGAACGGTGGTAGAGAAAAATGACGTAATGCCCAGCCACTGCTTTACCGGTGGTAGAAAAATGACGTAATGCCCAGTCACCGGTTGAACGTTGGTAAAGAAAAATGACTTAATACTCAGATACCGGTTGAACGGTGGTAGAGAAAAATGACGTAATGCCCAATCACCTGTTAAACAGAGGTTAAGGAAAAATGACTTAATACCCAGCTACCGGTTGAACGGTGGTAGAGAAAAATGACGTAAGGCCCGGTCACCGGTTGAACGGTGGTAGAGAAAAATGACGTAAGGCCCGGTCACCGGTTGAACGGTGGTAGTGAAAAATGACTTAATACCCAGCTACAGCTTGAACGGTGGTAGAGAAAATGACATAATGCCCAATCACCACTTAATATGACTTAATACCCAGCTACCGGTTGAACGGTGGTAGACTAAAATGACGTAATGCCCAGTAACCGGTTGAACGGTGGTAGATAAGAATGACTTAATACCTAGCTGCCGGCTGAATGGTGGTTAAACACTTATAACTATTTTTATATCTACTATGAAATATTACATACCAATTAGTTGCTAATTTTGACTCTGGAGTTCAGACAGAAGGTTTAAAATTATTCATGAACGCAAGACTAAAAGTGTTAATAATGGTGTGTATATAAGTTTTGTTCTTACTTCTTCTATATGCTGTGTCCATTCAAGACATGAGCGATTATAGCTCTCCACAACTTCCTCTGCCTTTTAGCCTTTAGTAAATTCTGTCTTTTTGCTCTATCTCTCAATTCCTGTTTTGTCAACCATTTATACAAGCTCATAATCTAGATTCTCTGCTGCTTTCTTCTGTTCCTCTTCCTTTCAATATGTCCGTTGTGTGTCAGATTTTCTAAGCAGTCTTTCCTCATTATGAGCCCCAGAAATTTTAACTTTTTCGAATGCGACGTAAGTGTCCTTTTTCTTTTCATTTACTCCAAAATTTTGTCGTTAGTCTCGTGTTCAGTCCATGGTATTTTCAACACCCTTCTGTAGAATCACATTTCTGATGCCTCAAGTCCCATCACTTTCTGTGATGAGATGTTACAGCATTAATGACATATAGAAGGGCCAATACTCTACAACAGTTCAGTACCTTTTTCTCAATGAAATTTTCCAGTTTTTTAATACTTTGCTTTACTTTTGGAAGGCATCTTTCGCTCTCCCAATGCACCTTCGGATTTCGGTGTTGCCTTTTTCATCCTCTGTTAAAACACTTTCTAGATATTTAAATATTTGCACTGGTTTAATTCTGTTATCTTCAATTTTTAATTTGCAAGTTGGCCTGTTTCTTTTACTGACAACCATGCATTCTGTCTTCTTACAGTTGATGCTTTGTCCCTTTTTTCTCATTAGCAAACACATTCTCTTTCTCCTATAAAAGATAAGGTTAAAGTTTCAAATTCGAATATGTTAGTGATAGGTAATGGTACTTATGACCGTCTATTCCATAATGTTCATCAAGAAGATATAATTGGAATCAATACAAATGAAAATCAAACAAGAAATAATCATAAAACAATTTTGTAATTTGTGTAAGTCTACTCTTCTATTTTAGAAGAAATATGAATGCCTAGATATTCAGCCGACTATCTACTATGGATGCACAAAAGTGTATATTCCTCCTCTAAAGTTACAGTATCAAGAATACTTAATAAAGTGGAAATAAACCCTCATAAGCTAGAGTGTCTGATTTGAATATGATAACACTATACAAATAAAACCCTGCTTATCTCTCTCTTTCTCTTTTGGACCCCAAGCAAACAATGCCGAGAAAATTCAATATCAAAATTCCAACATATGTTTTTATTATTATTATTATTATTATTATTATTATTATTATTATTATTATTATTATATAGAGCAGCATGGATCCATCCAGCTCTTATCTCAAATAACAACTTAAAAGAGACTGTTTGACCAACACAAGGAATGTTAAAATAATTCATGTTAAAAAGATAAAAAAACAAAACAAATGAAAACTACAAACATGACTATTCCGAAAAGGTTTCTTTGTTTCTTTCTGAATTCAGTTACTGCACGCTGTTCAAATTCCCCGCATCTTTAGATAGCGCCAGGGGATATCTATCTATCTATCTATCTATCTATCTATGTTTGTATATGTCTGTGTTGGAGTTTTTTTTCTTTGGACTCTGAACTGAACTTGGATTCTGGTCGATTGTTTTCGTCTGAATTACATGTTCTTAGTTCTTCCTTTTTTATTCCTTAATTTTCTTTGGGTATTGGTTTGTTCATTTACAAGCCAAAACACCTAAGGTTTTTCCGGACGAGAATAATTACTTATATATATGTGTGTGTGTGTGTGTGTGTGTGTGTATGTGTGTGTTTGTATAAATTCCCAAGAGGATAGAATCCAGGTAGAACTCAATGTCCAGGACAGAGTAAGAATATAATATAAAAGGCTCAAACAATATTATTCCATTGTTATAATTTATTACATTGGAATCGTAATCACGAATCATCTTCTTGGTAGCCGTAGATATATATATATATATATATATATATATATATATATATATATATATATATTAGTAGAGATAGATTGATAGATTGATAAATAGAGCGATAAAGAGAGAGAAGTATTGGGAGATAGATCATGGAAGCAAGAACAAATATGTAAGTAATTATGAAGTCGTTCTCGGATGCATATATATCTATATCTGTTTATGAATCTCTCCTCTGTCTCTTTCTCAGGCCATGCGTTCATGGGCGTGGATATGCAAGCATGTGTGAGTGTCTACAGGTGTGCATGAGTAGGTGTCGTTGTATTGAATAACGGGCGAAAATTATTGATCGATAAAGAGAAGAGAGAAGTTTTTCTTTAGTCAAGGACAAATATTTCTCATATGCAATTCTATATGTCCGTCCAAGAAAAATATGTCATATCTTTTATATTTGCCGTTTACGAAGTAATTTTGTTTTGATAGTACAGTCTTTACATTTTACAAAGCTATAGTTAGTAAGCATTTCTCTCTCTCACACTCCCCACTCTCTCTCTCACTCTCTCTTTTATTGATTTTTATACGGATTATTAACCTATTGCAGGTTATTTAAAGCCAAAAAGTATTTTTAAAATTGTAAGAATATTTAATAATAATGATTTACTTAGCTGCATCTACCGCAACGAAAGATGGTTCTGTGTGTCGGACCAGAAGTTTTTTTTTGTCGCCTCAGTCCATCCTTCAAATCTACAAATCAACCATTCGTCCTTGCATTGAATACTGTTGCCATATATGGTCTGGTGTCCCTGCTGTTCATCTCGAGGTCCTCGACAAAATCCAGAGACGGATATGCAATATGTTAGGTCCTGATCTGGCATCTAGTCTAAAGTCACTCTCTCACAGACGTGTTGTGGCTTCCCGCTGTCTTTTCTACAAGTATTTTCATGGCAGCTGTTCCGACGAGCTACTTTCCCTGGTACCCAAACTGCATGAATTTAAGCGTGCTACTAGGTTGGCATCTCGGTCCCACCCTTTCACTGTCGATACGGTGAAATGTAGCAGCTTCATCTACTCCAAAATCTTTTTCTCTCACACTTCCCGACATTGGAACTCCCTTCCTCTTACTTGCTTCCCTGATAACTATAATCTTTAAATATTCAAATGTAATGTCAATCGACATCTTCTGATGCTTTGATCCTAATCCCCGTCCTTCTGTTTATCTTTTTCTCAAACACCCCCTCTTTACTCTTGCTCTCACTCTCTGTAACCCTTTGCGTGCTAGTGGCACTCCCGCCTTTCTTGAGGTGAAATGCTTAAAAAAGTTTCCTCTCCTCTTTCAATTTAATCTGATTATTAAAGTAGCCATTCTTCTATATTATTCTACCTTTGTCCCATAATGATTATTCCATACAGACTATGAATTTTGTACGTAAATGGAACAATCATTATGGGACAGATGGGAACTCCCTTCTTCCTGCTTGCTTCACTGACAGCTATAATCTTCAAATATTCAAATGTAATATCAATCGACATTTTCTGTTTCCTTGATCCTGATCCCCGTCCTTATCCTTTCCTCAAGCACCCTCCTTACTCCTGCTCTCACTTTCTGTAACTCCTTGCCTGCTAGTGGCACTCACGCCTTATTTGGGGTGATATTACTTTAAAAAAATCATACAAATTAACTCATAGTCGGAGTAGAGAAGAGGTGGATTAACACCTTTCCCAAGGATATGTACGCGTAAGAGGATACAACGAGCCCGGCTAAAATTGGAACTCCAATGACCAATTCTAAGTCTTTCCAGATTACACCAGGTGCATAGCCAAGAATGCAGCAACTGGTATTCCCAAACGGTCACCCATCTAAGTACTGACCAGGCTCGCAGTTGCTTAACTTCGGTGATCATACGAGAACCGGCGTTATCGTAAGGCTAGTGATTGCTTAATTATGATAATATCTTATAATGTATACATTAGACTACGTTGAACATTGGAAATATTCAGCCAGCTTTCACAGGCTATAACATTTAATTTCGATCATTACGAGAGTTTTACTACTTGCAGCAGTCTTATCTATCTATCTATCTATCTATCTATCTATCTGTCTATCTATCTAACCAAGTCTTTTTTTTATCTATCTATCTATCTATCTATCTATCTATCTATCTATCTATCTATCTATCCAAGTCTATTTTTTATCTATCTATCTATCTATCTATCTATCTATCTATCTATCTATCTATCTATCTATCTATCTAGCTAGCTAGCTAGCTAGCTATTGCTAGGTAAAGAATACGTAGCTATTTGCCAGGAGAAGCTAACTTTCCTTATCAAAGTATGTTCGCAAGATGTTTTCTAAAAAACGAATTTACGAATAAGTTTATGAGAGTCAAACACGTTAATCATTTCTCAACGGGACGTATTCAAAACTGGTAGATTCATATTGGACAAAAAAAAAACTTTGGTAAACAGTCAAGGCAGCATCGCTCCTAATAAGAATTTAACGCCCTAGCAATAGTTAGTATGATCTATAGCAGGTTGTTCACCAGATACAGAATTGATTTAGAAGCTTTGTCTTGGAGTAGTCTTAAAAAAAAAGCTCGTCTCGCAGACACTTCAGTAAATCAATGATCAGGATTCTCGATGATTGCATCGAACTTGTTGCCTTCTTCCAGACTAATAACAACTCATAATATACAAATGATGACCACGTATGACTTATAGTGACCAGTGTTCAAAAAACATGTCGGTCCGATATAAATGCTTTTAAAATATTTTATTATTGGTTATCCACAAAAGGACGAGCCCAAAATGTAAATTACAGGTCTGGTGTACTAAAATCAAGTAAGTACAACATTTAAATATCTAGGAAGTGTTTCAAAAGAGGACGGAAAGTGCGACACTGAAATCCGAAGGCGTACTGCTATAGCGAAAGATGCATTTCAAAAGCTAAGCGGAGTATTAAGAGACAGAAAAATTTCGTTGGAAATAAAGAAAAGACTATTAAATTGTTACGTGATATCTACCCTCCTACACCATTGTGCAAATTAATTCGAACAACCAGTTTAATTTCCTTTCTTTCACCATACGGTCAGTTTGCGACCCATTGAAGTGACAGGGTGTAATCGATTTCTATTTTTTCTCAGATTAGGTCATTTGCAGTGGTATGCAGTAATATGAATCTATTTTCGGGGTGTATGATGAAATGTGTTTAGCCTTGAAAAATATTGCGTCACCCGTAGTTGCATCAGATTTTCATCACGCCCAGACACTACTGTCTCGACTGTTGATTAGTTGTCCTATGGCCATTTTCTGCGATGGACGTTGCTCTAAAGAAGCGTAAGAAAGTTTGTAACGCTACACGAACACACTGACAAGTCTTACCAGTCAGCAAATCAAAGTACTATAGACTAGCGCAGAAATTCTTCTGATTTAAATCCAATCGAGAATCTGTGTTCAATCTGCAAGGAAGGACTTCGTGGAATGAAATTACGATCACACTGACATACGAATTAGTAATATATGCACTGCGTCATGTTTCATTGGAAAAATACGAAAAAAGTAAATAATAACGGAATTATTCGTTTTGTTTCGATTAATTTACACAAAGGTGTATATGGCAGCGACTCCTGCACAATTATGAAGTAACAGAAATGTATTTCTACAGAAAGATGCTGAGGATAGGAAGGACTGAAAATATAAGCAATAACTATCTTTTGGAGAAAACTGTAATCAAAGAGGAAACTCGTACTTAACATCAAGTAGAGGCAGTTAAAATTTTGGGGGCACATAATGAGGAAAGAAGGCTTGGAAAATCTGATACTCACGGGACAGATTGAGCGAAAGATGGACTGAGGAAAGCATAGCGTAACGTACTTGATGGGCTTAAGCGGGTGGATTGCAGAACAGGGCTTGGGAGAAATAACAAAAAGACAAAACTGATTAAGAGTTACAAGGGACAGGAAAATGTGGAGAGCCATGATCGTCTACGTCCGGAAGGGACACGGCGCATACAAGAAGATCATTGCAGAACTCTAAATTCAGAAAGATGAGAGGGAGAGAGGGGAAGATAGGAAAGGAAAAGAAGGAGAGAGAGAGAGAGAGAGAGAGAGGGGGGAGAAAGAAAGAGAAGGAGAAAGAGAGAGAAGAATAAGTCAAGGGGAAGAAAGAAAGAGTTTTGATTGTATCTCACATTGTGATTCATTTTTATGTGGAAGCACACATTCGAACAAAGAAATGAACGAGATTTGTTTCAGTACGTTTTACGGTTATCGGATTCAGTTAGAGTTGTACGATTCGGAAGAATATCGAGGACATTTATTGATTTTTTAAAATATGGCATTTTAAAAGTTTTTTGCTTTTTAATTTATTGAGGGAAAATCACGTATCACGTTAAAGATGTTAATATTCTGTCTGAAGGCAGTTTTCATTAAAAATTCAGATTTCTTGCAGGTTTTTACAATTACAATATATTTATATACTATATATGATGCAATAATCTCAGAGATTTACATCGAAGTTTCAATGCTTTTATATCAGGTCATAAATTATCGTAATAATAATGTATAGCAAGTTGTTCATTAAATAAGGAATTGATTTCGAGGCTTTGTCTTGGAGTAGTCGTAAAAAGATCTCGTCTCGCAGACCCCTCAGTAGATCGATCTTTTTTTTTTTTTTGATACATTGGATCTTACTGCAATTTTTGAATTGGTGCTTGAACATATCCAAGAATTTATTCATACATACTGAAATCTCTTGGCGAAGATATGTTGTACCCTTCCTATCCGTTCGTACGTATATACTTGCTTTAGATATATTTGGATAATCAACATTACATGCTTTCGCCCAAGATACAGTAATATCACGTTTAATTAGGATACTTTTAGAACATTGGTAAAGAGTAAGTCCATCGAAGTGCATAGGAATAGATTCATACCGCATTAAGGATTTTGACGTCAGGAACAAGTATTGTGACTAATTATGCACCTTGCAAATGCAACTGCATATGATATGAACATCGTATTTGCTTTATCCCAGTTACTCATTGGAGACTTGCAGAATGGTGGGCGAAACCATTCGAACATAAAACACCATACAACTCACATGGAGTTGCACGGTGGAATAATGAATAACCGCTCGGATTTAGGAATCGGAGAGCCGGGTTCGAATTCCAGTTGAATCCATTACATTCACTTACATGCTAATAACATTGGGAAAGGTATGAATCCTCTCCTTCTCCCTCCAGCTATGAGTAAATAGCAGGATATACAAGGTTCTATAGCCTTGGATGGCAACTAGTCTAGGAGAAGGACAACTCTAAATTCGAAACCGGTGGAGAGTCGTTTAGGGACCTTGTTGCACGTAGTATGCAGCCCTTCAAAAAGTGTTGATGGCTTTGAACAAAGCCTTCACCACTATAATCAAATCATATGTGCTGGTGCCAGTCTGTCGGTTTCCTAGGAAGAGATGTGCTTGACACTCATACGTCGAATTCGACGGTGGGTGGGCGAAATAGAGTATATATATATTCCTCTTTTTAGGGCAATTTCATTAAAAACTACTCGTAAGGCAGTGGTTAAATTTTTTAATATAAATTTTCATGTTATATTTTTTTTTTTTTATATTATATATATATATATATATATATATATATATATATATATATATATATATATATATATATATATATATATATATATATATATATATATATATATATATATATATATATATATCGAGTGGTTAGAACGTCTCGAGTGGTTAGAATATCCGCTTTGTCACCATGAGAACCGGGTTCGAATCTCACCACGTTTGATTTGTCAGCAATAAGACATCCTGATATTATCGGTATGGATAGTGACGATCCCAACGTGTGGCACCTTTGGAAAGTGCCTTAAAACCATAACCTTGTTAATGATATTGGATAGACGAAACACTTGGGGCCCGTCGATAGCTGTGCTAGCACTAAGTCACAAGTCATCGTGACTGAGGGTTTGAGTGTGCTGTCCTTGTTCAAATTGTTGATCACTCTAGATAACACACTCTTCCCCAGAAACTGTAACTAAGGTCTGCTCAACAGAATTGCAGTATAAACCACAGTTGGGCAATGTGGGTGTTGAACAAAACACAAATGCGCCTGAGCGAGCGTCTGCAACAGGGATTGGCTAGCGGCCCTAGTAGACGGGTTTCCTCGAATACGAGTGGCCAGCTATATATATATATATATATATATATATATATATATATATATATTAAAGCATACACATACTACAGGCAAGGAGTTTGGACCAATGCTGTATTTCTTTAAAAACACCTTTACCCGTCATTAGGCTTTTTGAGATCACTAAAAGGGTTTAATATTTGATTTCGGTCGAGAGAATCATGACCCCCCCCCGCCTGAAACAGCGATAAAAAAAAACAAACAATATCATTGTACTTCTGTAGCCTTCATTTTTCTCTTGGTCTCTGATGGGGATTTTCCATCATGCACACTAATTTAACCCTTTGTGCATTGACCACCGCTTTAACAGTGGTAAAGAAAAATGACGTAATGCCCAGTCACCGGTTGAACGGTGGTAGAGAAAAATGACGTAATGTCCAGCCACCGGTTGGACGGTGGTAGAGAAAATGACGTAATGCCCAGCCACCGGTTGGGCGGTGGTAGAGAAAAATGACGTAATGCCCAGCCACCGGTTGGACGGTGGTAGAGAAAATGACATAATGCCCAGCCACCGGTTGAACGGTGGTAAAGAAAAATGACGTAATGCCCAGCCACCGGTTGAACGGTGAGTAAACACTTGTAACTATTTTTATATTTACCTTGAAACATGACATACTAATTATTTATGAATTTTGACCCAGGAACTCAGGCTTAAACGGGTTAAAATTGATCAGGAACACAGGGTTCAAAGATGATTATAATGGTCAGCCAGTTTCTGGGTGTGTAACACTCATATTGTATATTTGTTTTATTGTTTAATTCATTAAAAGGAAGTGACCTTTCAATCTCCGCATTTAAAACATAGTTTCGTATCTCCCCGCAATTCGGCTAAATGTTCTGTTGCTTATTATCCCTTTGCACCCTTTCCATCTGTCAAGGAAGCAATCATAGTCTATTTTTATATCTATCGGGAAACATTACATCCCAATTGTTTACGAATTTTGATTCAGGATCTCAGGCAGAAAGGTTAAAATATCAGGTCATCCCATAAGTTCTGTCCGAATTTTGAATGAAGAAAACAAGTGACCAAATGTTACATTTAA